TTAAACTGTTAAAATAATAAATATTAACATTGACGTAAAATTAAGAAAGATGGTAACAAAAGAAGAAAGATAGCAATAGCACTTAGCCTTATATACCGCTTATTTACAGCCCTCTTTAAACAGTTTAAAGAGTCAGCATATTGCCTCCCAACAATTTCCTCATTTTACCAACCTCAGAAGGATGGAAGGCAGAGTCAACCTTGAGCCGGTCAGGATCAAACTGCTGGCAATCAGCAGTCAGCAGGATTAGCCTGCGATACTGCATTTTAATCACTGCACCACTACTGCTTTTTAAGATAAAGTGGAGTCTTATATCAGTCCATTAATCATCCAGTATGACACGCCCCCATCAGGGCTCTAAGCCAATTGGCAGACCCAGATTTTTAGGCACTTTCAGAAGGCCAACAGGATGGATGCAGATCTCACCTTGAGGGGCATAATCTTCCAGAGAGTGGGAGGCACAGCAGAAAAAGCTTTTCTTCTGGATGCTGCCAGCTAGAATTCAGTGACTGATGGGATCTGCAACTTTCCCATTCTATCAATGCAGATGGGGTAGGTAATCCCATTATGATGAGATTCCTTGGGTAACCTGGACCAATGCCATAAAGGGCTTTAAAGTAATAACCAATACCTTGAGTTCGACCTGGAAGCAAACTAGCAACAAGTGCAGCTTGTGCAACAGCAGTGTGACATGGGACCCCAGGCCCCCCAAGAACTGTTTGCATGGCTGTATTGTGCCACTTATAACTTCCAAATTCTCTTCAAGGGTCACCTCACACAGAGTGCATTGCAGATGTGAGAGGACCAGGGCCTGAATGTCTGAGCACAGCAACTCACATATAGAGATACAGCAGAAGTTGAACATGATACGGAAAGAGGAATATTAGGTACTGGCACTGGAGATGAGGAGAGTGGGTCCCACATTTAAGTAGCAACGAGTGTAGGAAAGTATGGCCAAGGCACTGGGGACAATGTTACAGGAGATTGGGGAGCCACACATTTGTGTAGATCCCTTCTAAACCATAAACTCCATTCTTAGGTCTAAGTGGTCAAATATTTATGTTATTTGTAAAGCCATGGCAATAATTGGCAGCATTATACAGGAAATGGCTGGATGAAACTGTATGAATACTATACATGAATATATACATGAAACTGGCCTTTTGGGACAATCTATGGATTCTTCTGATAGGTTTATCATCCCATTGACCTGCAGTGAGTCTCCTGGAGCTTCATTGCAAAGCTAGTATTGGAGTCTCTCTGGCCTTTGGAGCAGGGACTTCAGCACCAATGCTTTTGGTGAAGGAAAGGAAGTAAAGTGGCCTCGAGATTCATGTCCTCAATATTACCATAAACTTGTCCCAGGTAATTTATTCGTTAATCATTAAAAAGAGCAATAGCAAGCAAAAGGAGAAAAGAAAGAAAATAATTTGTATGGAAATACAGTAATCAGTAAGTGGATAAAGGAATTATTGTGATGATACAGTTAGTGCTCATTTTGTTTATGAGAAATTATCCATAAAGCACATTATGCAGATTAAATTATTTTAACAATGTGAGAAAGGATTTGAGTCTCTTGAGTGATGTCCCAAAATCTCGACTATTTTTATTTAAGAATCAAAAATGAAAAACTACTGAAAAACATTATAGATAATTACTTTCTTCCTCTTTGGTCTATTTCAACTAATACATAATATTTACAGATATTTAACCTTTTGTGATTTCAATTCTTTAATTAGTTGTTAAAAACCATACTCTAAATACGTATATGTGCCTTGCTTGCTGAATATATATAGTTTATATCAGGGGTCTCCAACCTTGGCAACTTTAAGATTTATGGACTTCAATTCTGGGAGTTGAAGTCTTAAAGTTGCCAAGGTTGGAGACCCCTGGTTTATACGGAAACCATTCTTGCTTAAATTGAGTTAAACTTCTATTGTGAATATGTGCTGTAAATTTTGCCATTATTATGCATTCCCCAAGATTAAGTACCAGTCTGATAACCTGACTCCGTTCAGTAATATTCCTCTTTTCCAATTTTCCACATTCTGGATTTCTACTTTGTAACAGATGGAACAATATGGAAGACATGTTTTTATTTACTTGTTAATTTTTCATGCTGCCCATCTACACTATAAGTTCACTCTGGCAGCTTATAGGTTTATCCTATAAGTTTGTGTTGACAGGGGGGCAGAGGTCGACCTCGAGGCCTCTCATTTGTGGAGTGCCGCAAGGGTCGGTCCTCTCGCCCCTTCTGTTCAACATTTATGTGAAGCCGCTGGGCGAGATCATCAACCGTGAGATACCACCAGTACGCTGATGACATCCAGCTGTACATCTCCACCCCAGGCCACTCCAGCGATGCCCTTGAAATGATGGCCCAGTGCCTGGAGGCTGTACGGATCTGGATGGGGAGGAACAAGCTCAAGCTCAACCCTTCCAAGACTGAGTGGCTGTGGTTCCCGGCATCCCGATATAGTCAGCTGACTCCATCGCTGACTATCGGGGGCGAGTCTTTGGCCCCCGTGGAGAGGGCACACAATCTGGGTGTTCTCCTGGATACGCAGCTGTCCTTGGAGGAACATCTGATGGCTGTTGCCAGGGGGACCTTTTGTCAGGTTCGCCTGATCCGCCAGTTGCGCCCCTTTCTTGATCGGGATTCCGTGTGCACAGTCACTCATGCCCTCGTCACCTCTCGCCTGGACTACTGCAACGCTCTCAACTTGGGGCTCCCCTTGGGGAGCACCCGGAGGCTCCAACTGGTCCAGAATGCGGCCGCACGGGTAATTATGGGAGCTGCATGGCGCTCCCGCATAACACCGCTCCTGTGCGAGCTGCACTGGCTCCCAGTGGTCTTCCGGGTGCGCTTCAAGGTGTTGGTTACCACCTTTAAAGCGCTCCATGGCATAAGACCTAGTTATCTTTGAGACCGCCTTCTGCCACCGACGACCTCCCATCGACCCGTGCGCTCCCACAGAGAGGGCCTCCTCGGGGTGCCATCAGCCAAGCAATGCAGGCTGGTGACCCCCAGGGGGAGGGCCTTCTCTGTGGGGGCTCCCACCCTCTGGAATCAGCTGCCCCCAGAGATAAGGAGAATCCAAGACCTCCGTGCCTTCCGCCGCGCCCTTAAAACTTACCTTTTCCAACAAGCCAGGCTGGCCTAACAAATTTTTTAAATGATTTTAAATTTGTTTGTCTTTTTAAATTTTGGGCCAAATTGAGATATTTCCTTTTAATCTGTTCTTAATGTATTTATTATGTGTTTTTATTTGGCTGTACACCGCCCTGAGTCCCTAGGGAGAAGGGTGGTATATAAATTTGAAGTAAAATAAAAATAAAATAAAATAAAATAAATTATCTAAGATCAGGTTTTTGTTTTAATCTAGCTACACATTGTCAGCATCTGGGATCTCTGAAATGGCAAAGAACTTTATAATGATCCATCAGAGGAACTGATGAATTTTGATGGTTTCCTGAGTGTGCTTGAGAATATCCCAGTGATAAGGAATGAAGCTCTGGTTTGTACCTGTTTGAGCTCTAGTAAAAGCAGATTGCCAAGCAGGGAAAAACAGGTTTTCAAAGGAGCTCCAAGAAATGAAGCAAATGAAAGAGTTCTTAGATTAATGGTAGTGGGTAAATCCCATTGAAAATAACCAAACGTTGATAAGGAGATGGATTTTGTACTACATGATGGTAAAAAGCATGATGAAGCAAGTGTATGCATCTGCTTTTATTGCATTTTCAGATTCTTCCCAAGAAACTTTGTTCCAGGTATTCTGAACTGTTTGGGGAAATGATGGATAAGATCCATCAATGCTATAATATTTTTGCATCTTTCTCAAAATAGACAAGGTTTTTACAATTATAATTGCTTTTTATGGTGAGAAAACATTTACTATGGGGAGTTTTATGTATATTTTTGAGGAGATTTTTGATTGAGATTTTTGGGAAGTTTTATATTTTGACTATAACCATAGTATTTGAAATGTATCAAGACACCTTGATACATACAAAGAACTGTAAATTCTTCGATTAAAATAATTATTCAAAAGTAGAAGACAAAAATCTATATCTGATTTGCAGCAATGAGTTGTACATTTAATATGTTTAAATGAATAGTAAAGTTGCTATACTAATTATATTTAATGTTATCTTATTTTTAAATATAATAAAGTTAAATACATTTAAATTTTATGCTAATATCTGATATTAAAATTTGGGGTTTGGTCCCCAACAATAATTTGTTATTTTATTTTCTTGTGTGAACTGTTTAATCTAAAAACAAAATGAAACCTAGACATATGAGTAGAAGAAACAAAAAAAATATAACTGAATAAAATAAACAATAATGTGTAATAATTCAACTTTTAAAATATCAATTACATTTTGTTGTCATTGAATCTTATCATTAAATATTTGTGTTTTGCCAAGCCAGCCTTTGATAACAGGCCAAATTATTTTCTAAGACCTTCTTTGCAATTTTCCAGGCATAGTCGATCTAGAGTTCTTCCTATTCTTCCCATCCCATTTATTATCTAACCATTTTATCCTTAAATTTTAACTCCTTTACTAAAACTCTATTCACAATATTAAATCTGTTCAATAAATATGGAAAAACCTGAAAACATGACAAAATCATATGAGTAAACAGGGCTTCAAATCTCCTTTACCACACAATTTTGAGACTGAAACCTCCTGAATATAGAGAACACTTTTGAAAACCAGTGGAGATGTAGCTATATCACTGAATCTTATTTCTTCTAATAGCTCACTGAAATTCTTTTAAGGTCCTTTCTAAAATCTTTTATTTTCTTGGCTTTGGCTCCTCTTCTTTTCCTGGGAATTCCTACCATCTTCTCTGACACCCAGGTTTTTTTCTTGATTTTTTTCTTCTTCTCACATTCATCATTAACAATTTACCATACTTGATTTATTCCACAATCCCTATGAATAATATTATTCTATTAATAACATTCCTGGTGCATTTTTTTTTCTTTCAGAGCTTGAGGCAGAAGAGTGGTGCAAACATCTTTGCATAGAATGTCTTGGAACTAGACTTAATGATATAAGCCTTGGTGAACCCGATCTACTTGCTGCTGGAGTTCAAAGAGAGCAAAATGGTATGTGTTTAGGTAATCTACTTAACATACTTCAAAATCAGAAATTCATTTGTCAAATTGTAGAGGTTAGGCTTATTAGGATATTTATGTTGCATATAAATAGTTGATTTTACTAATGGGTACATTAGTACAGGATACAGTTCAGATAAGGTCAGTAAAATTTACTATGGAGGTTTGACTTCCTTCAAAACTATGGACTAAAGTAAGTTGTGATTTATGAGTAATTTACAAGGCAAGGATGTGCCAAAGGTTTTTATCATATTCTGATAATATAGACATTACTACATAAAGAATAATCATCACTATGAAATATTTTCTGGATAAATTTGCAGTGGAAAGTAAGCAATGTCAATGGGTTTCACCAAGACTAAAGATGGAAATCTCTAGTTTCTGAAATTCTAGTATGGAACTTTTGAAAATTTGATGTAGGACTTCCCAGAATAGACCTGAGACAGTTTTATTAATGCTATATGCAAAATCATAATTTCAAACCTCCGCTGCGTGCCTGCGTCGGAGTGGGATAAAAAACGCCACCAACAGCTTTTGTTTGCTCTAGTCATTTAATCCACCCGATCAGCACCGACAACGGCAAGTGAAATATATGTGAAATACATAAAGTCGGCGTTGGGAGCGGCTGCCTCCCAACGCCTTTTAAATACTCGTGCCGGCTTTTTACACGCCCTTCCGGGTTCTGCGTCCACAGCGCATGCGCGGAACGTATCCTCTTCATTCTCGGCAGCGGGCGAAGGGTGTCAGGAGAACACACTGCCTATTCCGGCCGCTGCGTGACCGACCGCCTATTATTAATAAGCACCCCCACCACCGGTGTGAACGTGAGTCCCCAACCAACCCCCCATAAACTCCTCGCTGCTGCAGGCTGTCTGCCAGGGTCCACAAACAGCAGGGATCACAGTTGCCGCTACAGATCACGGTGTTGAGGGGATCTCGACACATAATTTGGTGAAGAGCAGGCTGAAATGTCTATGGGGATTCTCAGTCTTCCAGGTCATGGTTATCCCAGAGGTGTTTTTTCAAGAGGCAACTGGACTTTTTTTGAAAACGTTTCATTTCTCATCCAAGAAGCTTCTTCTGAAAAAGTTTCTTCTGAATAAGTTTCTTGGGTAAGAAGCGAAACATCTTCAAAGAAAAACGAGAAAGTACAGATGCCTCTTGAAAAAGCACCTTTGGGACAGCAGGCTGAAATGTTTCTGAATTTTTTTGTAGGACTCTCTTGAGCCAAGTCAGGTCAGAGAATATATCGGCACAAATGCCAGTTGATGCATCAGATCAGAATTGTCAATTTTAAATTGCCAATAGACCACAGTCAAAATAAAGAAACTAACATTTATTTATCTTATTTATCTACTCAGTATAGCTAAAACATATCTATTGTTTTAGATTAAACAACTGTTTTGAAATGAATCTATTTAGGACACTATCCCCAGGTTCTCCATTCACAATGCACCCGTAAGACTCCAAGTAGCCATAATTAACAGCAGCATTTAAATTCAAGACCCGAACAAAATGGATGTTTTAGTAATATGCAAAATTGAATCATTAGTTTCACTACTCCAGACATTGCAATTTTGATAAATATCCCCCAGTGCCGAAATTTGCATTTAAATTAGCAGAGCTAAAGCTAGCTGTCACCTTAACTCTAGAAAGAAAAGCAGGCATTACGGTTGCTACACATAGCAAGACACGATACAAAATATTTATTAATACATTTAAATCAGGTATCAGGCCTGGATAAACCATCTTTAACTGGAGCATTAGCATCTATAACTGGAGCATTAGCATTAACTGGAGAGGGCGTTCTCTGTGGCTGCACCAACCCTCTGGAATGGTTTGCCCACCGAGCTCCGGACGGCTCCCGAGCTCCGCACCTTCCGCGCTGACCTAAAGACATGGCTCTTCCACCAACTTCCCTGATCTGCCATGGTTTTTAATTTGGGTATTTGGGTATTTTTAATTTGGTTTTAATACTATTAATTTTTTACTTATTGCTGGATTTTTTTCTATTGTTGTGAGCCGCCCCGAGTCCTACGGGAGAAGGGCGGCATATAAATCTGACAAAATAAATAAATAAATAATAAATAAATAAATTAGCAAATGCATTGAAATATCTCCTTTTTTTGCAAACATGTTTTTTTTAAAAAATTGCTCCAATTCACTTCTTACTTGCACATCAAAGCAAAAGTTGTAATGCAACATTCATGGAAACCTAGCTGTGCTTTGCTACCTTTATCAAGAAAAAACAACATATAAATGCACATTCAGAGGATTGGGTAAAATATTAATGAGTATCATGAGATTTTATTTAATGAAATAATTTAGTTTAGAAATATTTTCCCTTTTATTCACATATGTAGGATGCATTTGACTGAATTTTTCATCGCAAAAGGGCTTCTGACATCTAAATGATGTCCTAGCCTGAAGTCAGAATTGTATTTAAGAAACTCACAATCACAGATAACCTTTTTTTAAAAAAAAATCATGACTTAAATTATTATTTATATTTATTATATATATATATATATATATATATATATATATATATATATATATATTATTTTACCTTTATTTTTATAAGTAATTCAAGGCAACAGATCTACCTACTGCTCCTTACTCCTCCTATTTTTTCACAACCACAAATCTGTGAAATGAGTTGGGTTGCGAGAGAATGACTGGTCCAAATCATCCAGCCAGTTTTCCTGCCTAAGGCAGGACTAGAACTCACATTCTCCCAGTTTCTAAGTTGGTGTTTAATCACTAGACCAAACCACTAGATCAGATTTTAATACACTTCATCAGTTTTATGTGCAAAATAATTCAAAGAGGCAGACAAAAGTTAGTCTGCTTTTTAACTACTATTTTAATTATTAGCTTGAATGTTATTATTTTTTTGGCAGAGGATCAAATTTATTATTTATTTGCAGAGCTTTTATGCAACAGATCTGCTACTTCAGTTGAAACCAACTGTGAGTGGCTTACATAGACTATCACATATACATAAAAGCTTTTCTACACAGATAACAATGCTGCAGAGATAAAAATTTATGTTTATTATAATCCACATTACTGTACAGGAAGCACATCACACTCTCCTACCCCTGAAGAATCTAAATTTTGATAGCCATTCTGAAATTCAGCACAGGAAGCACATATTTCAGTTTAAACTACTAATAAACTATCAGTGGCTACCTTTACATACCACTCAATCAAATTAGAGCCAAAACTAGTCTTGAGATCATTAATGGAGTATACCCTTTTGTTAATTCATATTAATTCACCTATATTTACAGGAAAAAATAAATTCCTTCAATTTATTTTTAATGTGCATATGAATCAGGAAATGGAAAATAATTGTATGCTAATATCCATATTTTATTTTAAAAAGTTCTGTGCAATGACGTTCTTGAACAGAGCAAATTAAGGTTGCAAAAAGTGATAAAATTATATATAACATATTGTACTGACAGCAAAAAAAAAGCAATAAATAAACTGTCCTCTGATTTATAGCAAATTCAATTCTGTGTAATTATAAATTTAGAGAATGCCTTATTCTAACCAAAGTTAGTTAACATAATTATGTTCATTTTCATATGAATATTTCTTGATTAATTACTCTTCAAATTCATCCATATTGCAGCAAAGTCACAGATTAAGTAGGTCATCTAAACAAGAGTATTGTTCTTATAGAACCAGATTGTTCAACCAGGTATATTTCTTATGTTTGGAATTACAATTTCCGTCAGCCCTGGGCAGCAAGAGATGGAATTATAGCCCAAACCATCTGGAGAACAGATGATGCCTGTTCTTTTATAGTTTATTTCTTGGATTATTCCTAAAATCTCATTTGCAAATATGTATGACTGGGTTGCCAACTAACCCATTAAATTACTCATTTATTATGAATGAGCTCATATTATGGAATCAGAATCTTAAAGCCAGTGCAGATTTGTCAAGAATATTTTGTTTTTCGTGCTTATATCCCTCTTCTATTAATTGTATTTATTTATGAATGTCATTTGCTATCACGGACTATCACATTAAGGCTTGCCTGTCATTTGGATTTTATGTGCATTTTCTTCTTTTTCTTTAAGATATAATTACATTTCTTCGCTGACTCAAAGCAACCATTGTGCTCAAAAAAATAGCAGGATGGCCAGTTCCGTATATTCAGTACTGAAAATGAATGGAGTCAAACCTCAGAGATGCATTTACCCTTCAGGAATTCCTAAACATCTAGTCCAGCAATTTATATGTATTTGTATAAATCTCCCAAACATTAGCAGCATACTTGAAAGTCTCATTTGAAAGTTTACCATCAGCTCTTTTATAATGCAATACAATACAATTTGTAAAACCTCTCAGGAGTTCTGCCTTTGTGAACTGGATGAGATCGAACACATTCTTCTGTGCTGTCACATTTACTCTCATTTATTTCAGCTTCTATTAATTCACATTAATTTTACATTTCAATTCCGTTTAGCTGATTCTTAAATTCACCTTTTTGCTTCATAGCATAAAGGATTCCCTTTATGACTATGGATCCTCAGCTCAAGTAAGGCTTTTGAGCAAGTCAGGATATGTACATCTGTATTTATTTCATTACCATTTTTGTATATTTTACTCTATTCTGGATTGCAATGGATAAAATTGGAATTGATCTGGAGTAGGATTATTGTTTCTTTGTATGTTTAGTGTTACAAAAGAGGAATATAATAAAATGATTTACTGCAGAATCTCTTTGTGATAGTTGTGTTTACCCAGTAGCTTGGTATATTAAACTTCTAGGGTTTTGTTTTTTTTATCAGTAGTTCTAATTCTTCTAAGTTTCACTGCATACTTTTTATTTGTCTTCCACTCTTGGATAATTACTATTGATTCTGTTTCTTTGTTTCGCAGCTGATGTTCAGTCTAATCAGGAATTTTTGTTTTTAAGGACAACTCACCTTAAGACACTGATGCTCAATGCAAAAAAAAAACAAATGTGTTTTGACATTTTGAGCAAACGGTGTTTCCCAAATGTTCTTTTCTAATAATCTCCAATAGTTTAACATGGCAAGAAATATTTTTCCCTGATTTACTGAATCAGATTCTAAGGAAAAAGATATCAAAAGCCCTCCCAATCATAATACTAATTGATATATCTTGGATTAAAACTTTAATAAAGATTGATTTGATTTCACTTGATTTGATTTGATTTGATTTGGTGCAAGATTATTCATGAAATACTTCATTCTGAAATTAAACTATTCACAAAAATTAATAGGTACCAGCTGGGAGTTAATTGCAGTTACAACTGTGAAATGAAAGGTACAGGATACAAATACAGGACATTGACAGAGTATTCTCCATTCAGACGACTGCTTTATAATCATAAAGCAGTATGTATATTAACATTAATTCAAAATATTGAATTCAACGAAAAGTTGATCTAGTTTGTTAATATACATTTTGTAAGTTTTTAAAGTGTTTTTAGTGTTCTCAAAGAGCACTTGCCACACCTCAAAACAAACATTTCTTTAAAAAATGTATTTTCCTGAAATAATCCATTGATTTTCGAAAATTTACTATTCCAACTCTTTCTTCAACAGATTAGATAAATCATTGATTCTATTTTTCATTTGAATTTTTAATAATTTTTAAAAAGACTGTGAGTTTCTGTTATAGTGCAGCATCTCTGAAAGAAACTAAAGCTGCAAGTGCCCCAGGGCATGTTAAAGTACCTAGGCCAGTGATGGCTAACCTTTTTGCCATTGTGTGCCAAAAGTGGGGGGAGCGCGGGGAGGTCGTCCACGTGCACGCCCACACCCATAATTCAATGCGGTCCGCCCCTGCGTGTGTGCCCCCCAAGCTCCCCCTGCTTTTAACATGTGATGGCACGGTGGGCCCAGTAGGCCCATTTTTCACCTCCCCAGGCTCCAGAGGCTTTCTAGGAGTCTGGGGAGGGCGAAAACGGCCTCCCCCACCCCTGGAGGCCCTCCGGAGGCCGGAAACAGCCCATTTCCCAACTTCCGGTGGGACCAGAAGGCCCAAAAGTCAGCTGGCCAGTGCACGCATGCACGCTGGAGGTGAGCTGTGGCAATGCTCGAGTGCCCACTGATATGGCTCCATGTGCCACCTGTGGCACCCGTGCCATAGGTTCGCCATCATGGACCTAGGCCATGCAGTTTAATTAATACCTTGTTTCATTTGCATAAATTACCAAGTGTATATTGAAAGCAAATTAGACCTGAAAGCTTTAAACCAACTATTAAGAATCAACTGTCTAATATTTCACATTAATTCTGATACATCTTTCCAGTTTAGTGTTCAAAGCAAATAAGGCCAGTTGCCTCTTGAAAAACCACCTTTGGGTCTAGAACTTTAGTATTATATAATATGACATTATAAATTCATATAGTAGCATGCATCCAGTCAATAAGAATAAATTAAATGACTAAATAAATGGCTTTCAACAGAGCACTTTGTTTATCTACAAAAAGTTGCTTACCTATCACTTTTTGGATAGATTAATTAGGAGGTGATGTAATAAAACAACTTGAGAAATATATTTTTACTGTCTCTCTCTTCATCTCTACAAGGAAAACATCGAAACTGAATGCTTGACAAAAAGAGAGTTTAATTCCAACATTTTCTTTTGTATAACTGTAGTTTTCAAAGCTTAATGTGTATATTACAAGTCTGTTACAAAAAATGTGCCAAGTTCTTTAAATCTGGAAAACAGGTGCATTTTCCTAAGTAAAGGAACTAATTGAAATTATAAATGCTAAAAAAGGAAAGTGATTATATAATTTTATGAAGGTCATAAAAACAGGCAAAGTTTATTTCATCAACAGGGTTTCAACTCTTCTTCCAAACGTGGTAGGAATAAAATGCAACCCTATCCTCTAAATCCATCATGCCCCCCTATCTTTAAATAAGTTTTACTTTAATAAATGCTTCAGTCAATAGGCAAAATGGAAATTGTGGTAATAATTCAAGGCAGTTCACACTTTTTACTACAATTGTATTATTTCTGTTTCTGTCTTCCAGAACGATTCAATGTATACCTTATGCCTACACCAAATTTAGATATCTACGGTGAATGTACGATGCAGATCACACATGAAAACATTTATCTCTGGGATATCCATAATGCTAAGGTTAAACTGGTCATGTGGCCTCTCAGTTCTTTGAGAAGATATGGGCGTGATTCAACATGGTTCACTTTTGAATCTGGAAGGTAAGTAACAGTTCATACTTTCAAATAATTGTGTTATTAATAAGGTCAGCCTTGTCAGTATAATGTAAAAGGGGCACATTTAAGAATAGTTGTTTTACCTATTGTCAGCAAAGTTGTTTCTGTAGATTTAGGATTTTGTTGTTGTTTTAATGAATTTGCATTTCCAATCCACAAAGTATAGTCAGGCGACATTATATTCTAGCTTTAAGCATTGGGGTTTGTCTGATGATGCTGTATCTGACACATTAGCAGAATATCAGTTTTTAATAAAATGTTGATTGTGTATTTTTATATCCTAGAAATGCCCTATTAGGCACAATGTAATTCTTAAAAAAAATTGTTTAATTGATCTGCGATTGACAAACCTATCAAATAAATTAACTCATGATGGATAGAGGGAAAAGAAATAAGTAAAGATCTACAAAAAGTAGACAAAGAGTGCATGAGAATTACAGCTTGGGGAGGGTGTGTGAGAGTGTGCAAGAGTGCTTGTAAATTATGACAGTATATAAATTTGATTGATAAATAGCCTTCTAGGTTGAAACTATACCAACAAAATGATATCCCCACAATAAATGATTTTTCAGGATAAAAGCAATAAAAACCTAGTAGATGCTTTATATTTTTATAGTTAACTGTATAATCTAGATTCAAGCATCTTCATGGAATAAACTAAATAATTTTTTTTAGACAAAAACATCCAAAGATTACTCTGACTGAGATGTCTCTTTAACAGCATGGTATTCTCTTCAGTAATTAATTCTATTAAATCAATGAAAAGTGACAGAGTCCTTCTCCAGATCCTAAATTTAGCTCTAAATATACTTGCTAAAATGTTGACAGCAGCCATGGCATAAATTTTTCAAAATGCATTATCTCAATAATCTATCCAACACAATCTGGTTTCATGAAAGGACATCAGGCATCCGATAAAATCAGTTGGTTAATTGACATATTAGATATTCCATCAAGACATCATAGATTGTTTATATCAGCTGTATCATTTAAGACAAATGACAATTATTCTGGCTGCTTTGGAAAATGTGGGATTTTCTCCTCTCTTTGGGGGTACAATCCAATTAAATCCATCACATTAAGGTCTGGAGAATCAAGGTTTTACTGTACTACTCACCAAAAAAGGATGAACTTCCATGGTCAATCATACTTCTGTTCTTCACAGAAGCTGGTATTTAAGCAGCTGTGCCTTCTTTCTTTCGACTGTTCCTAATGTGGAACACTATTTGGGATCTTATTCCTCCAATTATTCAAATGGGAACTGATAAATTAAAAAAAAAAAGGAATGTTCCTGTTCAGTAGCCAAATATACAGAGCAGCTGATCAATCAGCAGGATTTTTGTGCTTAATCCAAGACAATTTAGTTGTGAGTTGCCTTAGTTTTCTGTCCAGTATCTGTATATTGAGTTTCAGTCTCACAGGAATGTAACAGATGTGTAGACAGAATTACTCTGAAGGAAAGCATTGCACTGAGCCATTTATACATGGCAAACAAAATCTCGCAGAATGATAAGATTATAAAAACAGGTATTATGAGTAATCCATTAAAGCAGGAAGGAATAACAAAAAATAAGCAACTCATAGTGAACTGGTCCATATCCAAGATTATCACTTCTTTTTTTTCAAATTTCAAATATGAATCACATTCACAGAGTATAGTCATAAGGTAATAATGCTTTTATTTTTGTAGGCAACATTCCTTGATTTGAATAAAAGAGAAAGGCAACTGATAAGAGCTGAATAAAATCTTCACAAGTTTAGCTGCAGTTTATCTGTTTTCTTGGGATTTTTTTTGTTCACTTTTAAATAGATTAATCTTCATTTTGATTTACAGGCTTCTTTATTTCTCTGACCCTTTTTCACCTTTAGGACTTGTCAGCTGTCAATATACACTGATTAATAGCTCAGTCTTTCTGGGCTTCAGTTTCATTTTTATTGGTTAACCTTTGCTAACTTTAACTATGATCTTTCATGGCTTTAACCTTTAGTTTATTGACTGTCCCATGTTACAGGATTATGTACTGTAGTTTTATTTTTCACAAAGATTTCTGGCTTTTTCCTGCATTGCAACAGTCTACCTCTAAGTAAATAACTTTGATTTCATGCCAGTGTTGCATAGAAACTTTTTAAAGAAACTTTTAAAATAATGTTCAGGATTATATAATGGGTCTTGTATATTTCTATGCACCAGAATTATCTTTTCTACAGTGTAGTCCTTGCTTAATGACCAGTGACTTAGTGATTGATCAGAGTTATGACAGATCCCCTAATAGGTGCTCAAGGCCCTAATGTCCATTATATAATGTTTTGGGTGCTTGGCAATTGGTGCATACTTATGGATGTTCATTGTGTCTCACAGTCATACCACCATGATTTTTGATGTTTTTTGCCTGTTTCTAGAGTTTATTTTGGATTTCCAACAAAAAAAATGCCACTTGGATAAAATAGATTTGCTTAACAACCGCCATGTGTGTTTAATGACCATCACGTTCGTATAATTGCTGCAAAAAAGTTTATAAAATTGGGTGCCATTGCATGGTGACCTGCAGTACTTAATCACAATGATTTAATTATGACCATAATTTGGGCTCACGAACATGTTGTTAAGTAGGGTCTCTAAGACACACGTATTGAATATAGGCTTGTCTATTAGGAACTGAAGGGATGTGATGGGTTCCACAGGAAGTTAACTGTTATATATTAGAAATAGAACAGCTGCTTTACAATTGAAAGAAAAGCTGTTGTTGAGAAATATAGTGTGTTTTTGCAATCCTATATCTCTATATTGTATTATAAATTATACAGACTTAAATTTGTTATCTGAATCTTACATCATAATCGTAGCCAGTGTCAGATGTGGAGAATCAGGACCACGTGTTAAGTTCCTGTTAAACTGATTGATTGTTCATGCCTATATACAAGAATCTAATCAACTAACGGTCAGTACTAAATTTGTGCTAGATAAGAGTTAACAGAATTCAAACAGAGCTGGACCTGCACTGCTTGTGGGAATATAACAACTCCAGGCTGATTCCTCTCTTGACTCCAACTCCATGTTTTGCATTTCCTCCTATAGGCAGTGAACCTAAATCTCATTGATTGGGACATCACACAGCATCCTAAACCATGATTTTCCTAATCATAGATTGGTCAGTATGTGACAGTTAGCACTAAACCAAGATTTAATGGCATGTCTGCACAATATGCTGAGGCAAAACTCTTTATTATAGGATGTTGTCATATTAGATGGTACAGCTAAAGTCCTTAACTCATTTTGTGCAGTTGCCAAGCAGTGAAACTATTGTTTCCAAATTCAGGACCTAACATAGAAACATGAGGAGTGATTACTGAAATATTAGGGAACAAACCATAAATAAGGTGCTGTCTTGGACATTTCCTTCAATATTTTAATATGTGCATCTCTAAAGAAGATTCTTGATTATTCACATAATCTTGTTTGTATATGTGAGTGTGTATATACACACACACACACACATCTACAAATTTAAGCATACAAATTTGTGAGACATTATTTGAAAGTATTCCAGTTATTTCTTTATTCTTTAAAACAGAAACTCAAACTAATATAAATATTCATGTATATACATTTTTCAGGATGTGTGACACAGGAGAAGGGCTATTTACCTTTCAGACAAGAGAAGGTGAGATGATCTATCAGAAAGTCCACTCTGCAACACTGGCAATAGCTGAGCAACACGAAAGATTGATGATGGAGATGGAACAGAAAGCACGGGTAAGACCCTTGCTATTATTAAACAATTGTTTCTTGGAAGGAAATCGTTTCTGAAATAAAATCAGATTTATATAAGAAAACTTATATTTAACTTAATTGACAATTATTAAATAAATGATATTACTCATATCAGACTCCACTTTGTTAAAATTATGGTTTTATTTATTAATCACATAACCATGGAAGTGAGAAATTGCCATCAATAAGATTTTTTCTCTCTCTTCCTAATGAGGTACAGGGTCAAAATACATGCAATTGCATATACATTTTGCCTAAATTTATCAGAACAAAATAGAGCATTTAAAGTTTCAATAATGTGTTTTCTTTCTTCTATGTGGAATCAGATCTACGATAGGTAGTCTTTGAGTTATGACTGGTTCTTTAGCAACCATTTGAAGTTATGACGGACTTCTCTGGGGGGCACTTGCAACCTAGTTCCAATGGCCACGTACACATTATACCCACAATCATGTGATCTCATGACAAGTGCTTGGCAACTGGCTCACATTTATGAAATTGTGCAGCATCCCATGGTCAATGACCACATTTTACTATGGGTTTGCTGATCAATGGCATACATTTTCGGTTTTCAGCAAAACTGCCTGTAGCGAACAATGGATTTGCTTTAAGACTGTGGCATTTGTTTTGGAACTGCTGCAAAAAAGATAATAAAATCAGGCCAGTCACACAGATGACCTGCTTTATGAAGATCATGTCTGTGGTGGGCAGGAAGCTATTACGATTCTTACAATGATAGTAAAAATGTTGGACAATGAAGAGTATTTTTAAAAATTCTATTCATATTCCTTGTTTGGCAAATCACTAGTTACCCAGATCTTCCTTGCGGTAATTACCTACTTATTTCAGCTTAATAGCTTAAAAAGGAAGGACTTCCACAGGCCAATCCGTACCAGTTTGCTACTGTATATATTAACCATGTAAGACATCACAGTGTTCTTTATTTTTATTTGGTTTTTAAAAATGGTATAAAGAAGTAGAATAGTAATGAAAATGTTTAAATCCTGGAGGCTTTGTATTATAAAGTTCTGAACCACTAGGTAAATATAGGCTGTTACATCACGTTTCACCAAGCAGCCTCGCAGCAAATTGAGAAGGTAATTTGTCTTTCTGATTGACTCTCAGGGACATTTTCTCTTCTAATAAGTTTGACTTAAGTGTTTAATTCTAGGAGACCAAGGTATTTTCAACAGAAAAGCCCATTTAGGGGAAAGTCAATACTCTCAGAGCAGCTATATGTTATCGCACATTAAATCACTGTGTATTTCCTTTTAGTTTTTCTCTGGCCAGTTGTGAGAGTTGATCTAAAGAGCTCTAAAAGAAAGGAGAAAAAAATATGGCCATACCCTTTTCAAATCTGTTGATCAGAAGAATAGTTCTGATATGAAATTTATCTTACTAATTGAACTTTACATTCTATGACATTTCTGATATATTAAATATGGTTTGAAAGTAACTAACAAGGTCTCTCTAAAAACCTATTATAAATCATACTGCTCCAGTTAGCTTCCATATTACTTACATCACAATTCCCGTAAATTACACAAGCTAATAGTTGAAACCAAGTCACCCTTGGAGGAGATTTGTAGTGAAAAATAATTAAGTCCATAGAACTCAAATATTGCTTGAAATTAAATATGTTATGGTATCTTAAGTCTCATTCACCACAAGTCAGCTATTAAGGCAATTCAACCTGCTATGAGGCTTTGTGCTGGCCTAATTTCTTCCTTTCTTTGTCCAATTTTTATTTTTGAATAAGCCACAATAACCATTCATGTGAAATATTGGAAGATTTGGATGCAAGAAAGGTAGAATATGAGTGCAGTGTCATTATTATAAATCTTTATTAATATAGTGGAGAGACAGCAAAAAATGTAATGAATTTGAGGAAACACGGAAATTTTGTACAAATTAAAGATGTTCTATATAGGTTGGCAGATATAACTAATGCGACATAAAACTTCAATTTTCTGTATATATAATGTGCTCATTCCCCATATTTATTTATCAATATTTGTATTAATATATATACAGCAAAGGGTATTTTAGCATGACGTCAGGAATTGTGTTTGATGCAGACATAATTTAAAACAAAGTCACAAGTGTTTTTTTCATAATTTTTTTATTGCTATATATATATATAAATATATATATATATATATATATATATAGTGGTTAAAAATAAAACTAAAAATGCAATAAAACAAGTAGCAAACATCACCTTCCTTAATAATATCTTCTCTTCATGGAAGATTAATCTTGCCAGGTCTTTCTTATCTAATCACCTTCTTGTCTTTAATTTACTTCCTTTGCATTTTTTAAATAATGGAATTTGTCTTAACTCAACCATATCTGCTGTGGTTATATAGTTAAGTACAAGGAGCACACAGGTTAATGTAGTCTTCCTATAGAAGAGTAAGTGGTTGAAAACAAATATTTTTCAGCATGCTTTATGTCAACAATTATATTGTATCTTACATTAGAGGAAAGGGGGAGAGGTCACCCATCATCCACAACCAAAACAACAAGGCTCGGTCTTGTTGAATATTGTACGTGTAAGGAGAAGAGATGGAGGAAGAGGAAACAGAGAAAAAAGCTTTTGTATTTCTAATGCTTGCATCTTACTCAAGTGTTAAAAATCTGGTTTTGTTATCTGAATTGTGCTTGGACAATATTTGGAATCATTACAGTAGACAGACTGAATTGTGCCAAATGCCTAAGGTTTGCAAGGCATAAGATTTGGCCATAGCTAGATTTATTTAATTAATACAATCTTAAGTTTATACATTCACGCAAGGAAAATCTGTTATTTCACTTTGTATAAATAATGCAAACAGCAGAAGTGGGCAGACTTATTTATAAAATACCAGCTACCAAGGCAGCAATAAATCTTGTTTGTTTTGTACTGTATTATTTTTTTCTTCCTTAGATTTAGAAACCTTGAAGGTCAATCAAGAGAGGATATTTTGAGTTTTCCTAAAACAAAAGTAACAATTTAGATTTTATTTTATTTATTTTTTAAATTATGGATTTGTTTTAATATTTAAATTATGCAATAAGTGAAAATTTTACCTGGTAAGGACACGGCAAGAGAACTTTACTATCCCAGTATGTTCTTCATAAGTAATCCACAGCTTGATCCATAAGCAGTTACATTCCAAATCATATGTAAGGTATATATTAGAGTTTAGATACACAGGTAGTCCTTGATTTATGTCTATTTGTTTCGCAACAAAAATTACTATAAAAAGTTACTTTCGAAAAAGAGGCCATCTAATGTCAAAATTGAACAGCCCTCTCTCAAAAAACATCATCCTGTCTACAATACAGTCCTTTCAGCAGTTCCAGGAAGGCACTGCACTCATTTGCGCTACTCAGATGACCCTGAGAACACAGATAAACCTCCAAGTGGACTGTCTAAAAGAATGCAAATGACCATGCAAGCTGTCTGCAAGGAATATTAATACTTCCATTCCCCATCATCCAGTCAGAGCTGAAGAAGCTTCTTGGATGAAAAGTAAAATGTCTTCAAAGAAAGTCCAGTTGCCTCTTGAAAAAGCATCTTTTGGACAACCATGACCTGAATGACTGAAAATCTCCATAGACAAAGTTACTATAATAATGAAAAAACACAACTTACATCCTTAAAGTTCCAGTTGTTGCAGAGTGCCCCACAGTCATGTGATCAAAATTCAGGCTGGCCCACATTTATAACTGCTCATATAATATGATTTTGCAATAGCAGTACCATCCATTGAGATTTCTCACTTGCACCAAAGGATGCCAGTGTTGCCTGCAGAACATTCAGGGTAGTCTATCAGTTGTGCCACTAGCACTAGTGCTATAAACAAATCCAGTTGTGCCTAGTTCCAGTTGCTGGAAGCTGTCTGCAGACACCACTAGCATTCAGTAGTGTGATTCATAGGCCCTTACACTGTGAACATGAAATAACTGCATCAGCTGGAGAAGCAGCATGTGCCATGTGGTGTTAACAGGGCAACTCCCTTTATCATAAGCTAAAGCAAGTTGCACCAGAGAAGGTGACCATATGCTTCAAACAGGTCACCTGTAATCAGAGAGAGTCCTATTATAGCATGAAGATTAGCAGCTATCTCAGATGATAGATAGGATAGATAGGAATCGGGAAATAATGGTGCATAGTGAAAGAGTAATGTGCTCACCTTTTGCCCTGCATGTTTAGGTATCCAGATATTTCCAGTTATGATGTAGGAGATCATTCAGTTTGGCTCTTATGCATGGTATACAAAGGAATTCCATCTGATTCTTCTCTCAGGCAAGAAATTGGTAGTTGTACAATATGCAAAACTATCATGATATTGAATATTCTTCTCTTGAGCCGGAAAATGTCTGGTCACATGAGTCATCAAGTGATAGATTTTGCTAATTGCAAACACATTTGGAGATACAAGAGAATGAAGTACAGATCTGGTGAAAGTAGCCTCTTATGTGTTCCATAATTAATATTTATGTACACAGCCTTGACTAGCAGAGTCACTCTTTGCATTCCATCCTGCATTGAATTTGTCTCAATTAGCAACTATTTTATTAGAGGTAAATTTTCGGAAATTGAGCATTTTTTTTTTTTGAAAAAAGCGTTCCACAAATATTAGTATAGTTGATGAAAGATGAATACAATGAATTCAAATTTCATTGGGCAGTTCAGTGTTAGATCTTAAACCTATTGTCAAGGTTCCAACTGACGAACCCAACCGAGTCAGCACTCTGAGACGATCAGATTTCTCAAAGAACTGTTTTATTAAGTACATCATTTCAACACACATGAAAGCAAAACCAACTATTTCCCACAGTTTTAGTATAATTAAAGAATAGATATTCCCCTCCCTCCTTGTCACAGGTCACACTGTCCAATTAGGTGTTCTGGCATCTTCCTGGCAACTCCTTCCAGTCTCTGGCCAGCACCTATTGAGATGATCTTGTTTCCCACAGGATGATCTGTTGTT